CACAACTGAATGTTCCAATTTTTCCCTCTTCTCATTAACGGCATAATGTACTGTTGTCACGGTTTACCCCCGGTTTCCGAAAAAAATTCTTAAAACAATAAGTTCAGTCAGGCGGAGAACAATAGGAGGATTAGTTGGGACAATCCAATTTTAGGGATGTCAGCCCCGCGAGTCCGGTCCTGAGATGATCTCAAGCATCGCTCTTGGTAAACTGGCTCGGTGAACTATCTTTCACTGTTGCTATAATACTTGATTTCCTAATCAGTGTCACACATGTTCACCAATCACTGTCAGTCATTATATATAAGGGCAATGGGATTCTATCAGTCAGTAACAATAACCATTTATTACACTACATCTATATTAAATTCCAAATCTCTATAACTTTTTACCTATTTTATATTTGTTACCTTTTTAATTCGGCCTCCCATTCAAATTTCCCTTAATGTTTAGTTATTTTGTCTTTTTTGTTTTTGTAGTAACGCCACTCTTTCAAAATTTCTATTTTTTGTTCCCCCTCATTTCTTAATAAGTGTACTACTATCCCGTCGCCGAAATGCCTTAGTTGTGCGTAGACAATAAAACAAATAACAACATATCAGTCACAAATGCTATCACGGCAAATGCACAAGTACATGTCTAGTTGTTATAAGCATGTTCGTAAAAATCTAGTTCGTAATGGCTACAAGGTCAGAGTTAAAACAAGAAGAGCTGGTCGGGTTCCACGAGGGGTTGCACTGCTCGTATGTCATGAAAAAATATATGATAATAAAATGCATTTCTCATATGTCACGTCCGCTTCAATTTGTACTGTTTTGAGTGATGGTGATAAACCATGATAAGCTTACATTGGGAAACCTGCCACACTTTTGCAATAAAAAGACCCACTCACCACTTAATACATGTGTTGTTCTACGGTCCCAAATATTGGCAGATCGAGAACACCCCGTTGTCACTTATTTACGCGTGTACAACAACAAAATTCCCCCCAAAACAAACTCAAGTGGTTTCTGTCTGATGCGTAAGTGGTTACAATAACAGCTTTTGACTCGGATGAAAGTTTAACGTACTTAAAAGCTGTCATTGTATAAAATGCTTTAAAGGTCTTCACACAGTTATCGTGACTCACTGCTTCTTGAGTACACAGCGTAATGGCAACGCAGAACATAACACATTTCTATTGTAGCATTGAGCAATGATGCATTGGTTGGTGCAAACATTTTCAGAAATGGCCTACTCTGGCTTTGCTATCATAGGTTCAGGGTAGCCAACCGCATCGCTTTTGATGTTTTGTATGTTCTAAGTCACCTTTGCTTGCTTACACATTCATTCTCACGGTGGTTCCTGTCGACAAGATGTCTGGTTATGCGCTCGCCTTTGCAGTACTATATCTTGGCATCTCAACACTTCACGACACACGGGGTGAGTATATTCTGTTGGATGTTTGTAGAATAAATATGTTAACATATTATAATTAATCAGTAAATTCTACATATTCAATTAAAATATTATATAATGATGTCAATTCTAATCTCTGAAGGGCATTTAGGAGTGGAATGCATGCAAAAAGCAAGAGTTATTCACAGTAAAGAAGTTGACATCAGTAAATCTTGCTTTTCTAACGTCAATTCTGTTATTTAGCATTATTTGTTATGTCAACATTTAGAAAAGATGCAACTTAAGCTATCTGAAAGTTAGTTAAGATAGAGAGGACTTTGTTCACAATATTCAGTAACACCCCATGAATATAAAAAGTATTTGAATGATTATTGGGTCGATCAAAGCATTAGACCCTCATATACTGTTTATAAAGGAACATTTGAGGAAAAAGAAAGCGAAGCCTTGTGAACAGCTTCTGGATATGACTGCCCCAGAGTGCTACGTGTTGATCTCTTAGTGGGAACAATACGTCATAAAACAAATGTTATAAAATCAACAGGTCCCAGTGAGGAATCTTTTCCTTTTTGAAAACTCATGTCTTTTTGTTTTGAAAATAAATGGAAGTGTGTCTATCAATATCATGACGCATCATTCAGTTTAAGGGCGGTGGGGTAGCCTAGTGGTTAAAGCGTTCGCTCGTCACGCCAAAACCCGGGTTCGATTCCCCACATGGGCACAATGTGTGAATCCCATTCCTGGTGTCCCCCGTCGTGATATTGCTGGAATATTGCTTAACTCACTCACTCATTCAGTTTAAAGGATTGATCAAATAGCCCGCTAAATAGACTGGCTCATGGGCGACAACAGGCTCATTCATTTCTGTGGTTGTGTTAAGTTCTGGAGCACTATTTGAAAACCGTTCAATGTGTCTTCACTAAAACATATATAGCTGACGTTTACAAGACAAGTATCAACGGGTTTGCTGGGAATACCGATGCCTTTGTCCCGTTGTCTGTCTTGCAATTACCTGCAAATCCCGATGAGTGAGCGAGTGAGTGAGTTGAGTTTTACGCCACACTCAGCAATATTCCAGCTATATGGCGGCAGTCTGTAAATAATCGAGTCTGGACCAGACAATCCAGGAATCAACAGCATGAACATCGATCTACGCAATTGGGAAGCGATGACATGTGTCAACCCAGTCAGCGAGCCTGACCACCCAATCCCGTTAGTCGCCTCGTACGACAAGCATGGGTTACTGAAGGTTAATTCTAACCCGGACCTTCACGGGTGAATCCCGATGAGTCGAATCTCTGGAGACCAAGTAATAAATTCGACCTATCGATGTATTCGAGACATAGGTATGTCTATAAGGATAGAAAAAAAGATGATCCAGTCCTAATTCCTCCGCCTAAGCATTTGTTTATCTAATGATTTCCCTATCACTAACCGGGCACCTTATCAGTTCCAGTCTGATTAGCATAGACAGTGATTTCCGTAAAAGCACTAATCTGCCTTTTGAACTCACCCGTCAAAGGCGGAAAGGTGTGAGCCGCGCTGGTTTGTTAAGTGCATCAGTTTGCTACACCAATCAACTCTCATTGACTGACTTATGTATACAAGATTGCTGTTATTTGAATCTCATGGGACCAAATTTTCTTCTCGAGTCATCGTGTGTATTTATGAGTCGAATTCGTGTAACCGGAAATCAAATGATGATGACAACTATAACAGGGAATGGTCGGGACCGACAGGTACTTCGAGTTATTCATAATATTCGAGACACCGGCATTCGACTCATCGGGATTTGACTGCACACGCAAATAGAAGCAACTATCATGACACAGTTCAAATTATTGTAATTTGATGTAGCTAATTTATAACCTTTTAGCACATCCCATCAATATTTGGATTTACTCAAAACTTGGTTTTTATTTGGAAAATGTTGTAACAAGCAAAAACACACACATGTCACAAGTATTTGCTTTTATACCAAAATAATTGTAAAATTATGTTGTTTTGTGCAATGCAGCGTTTAAGGTCTGTCCTCCATTGCCTCCCTTGCCACTAAATAGGTCACATGATGATGAATTAGCAGGCAACAGCAGAGTGTCGACAGCTATTGCTGAGGTTAATGACATATATCTTGTTCTTTCCTCTTTCTACAGTCTGACCGCTTCCGTGGTGTAGTGGTTACAGCGTCCGCCCGGAGAGCGGAAGGTCGCGGGTTCGATCCCCGACCGCGTCATACCAAATGACGTTAAAATATGGTACTTGTTGGTCCCTTCCTGGCGCTCGGCATTAATGGGTACAGCAAGGACTGGTCGGCTCAGAGTCAGTATAATGTCTGAGTTGGGTATTCATGCTTCACTGCGGCATGGTATATCAGTGGGCTAGCACTATAAAACCAGCTTAAGTCTGGGCTAGTACAAGCAGCCGCACATACACATACGCACGCATGCACGTCGTCATATGAGCGAAATATTCTCAAGCACGACGTAAAACCCAAATTTTACCTCACCTCACCTTTTCACAATCTTCCGAGGGCGGGTTAAGAACATGAATTGGAAAATTGTGTTTAGACGAGTCTAAATATTAGGGTTTAAATTTTTCAGGATTAATAGAGAGCAAGGGTGTAAGGGAACAAAATGGTACCAACGTTTTCTCCGCGTATAAGGGTATTGGGTGGTATAAGCACGTTGGGGATGAAGCCCCTTTTGCAAATATTGTGGAAGCGTAGAAGTTGTTTAGAAGGTTCTAATTATGAACTGATTCCCGTCTAAATCTAGTCTGAACTTCAACACGTAACACAAATTTGGGGGTCGTCCGTGATTGAAATTTAATACATCAAAAAGATATATTGTAAAATATTGTGTGAAACGGAACACGTTTCTTTACTCAAAATGTCTGACCTGGTCCAACTGACCAAATATTACGTCAGTCTGGTATGCTTAAGGCCAATGTCCAAAAAAACCCTTGAAGTCAAATTAGGCACTCTTCATAATAACAATTGCCAAAACATATGGAAGAATATACAACCTGACACACTGTTTAAAATCTGTGATATACAAATATAACCTATTTTATTGTATGGTTTACAAATATAGCGAGTTGAGAAGATACGAATCATGGAATAGTTTCAGTGTAAAGTCCTGTGCTGGAAGACACTCTTCTGAACTGAAGGCAGATTTTTGTGCTGGATATTACCTGAGATGTGTTAGATTGATCAGCGTGAATTACTGTATGTATTGATTTGCCTTTGTATCACAAGATGTTGGAGATGTGTCACATTGTATGAACGTTCTTGCACAAAGAATTAAAGACTGCCATAATGGCAAAACACAGTTTGTGAATCTGGAAAACTGACAACCAACCAAAGATTGAAATCAGTATTCAATACAAAAATGTTACCTATTCGCCATTATGAGAAGAGAATCCCGTTGAGTGCTACTAAAAGTCTTGTTTCAAGATCATTCGAACTCCCTCTAACCGTAAGTACGGGAAAAATGGAACGAATATCCCTTGAAGAAAGAATATGTTTAATGTGTGACCTACATGTAATCGAAAACGAATATTTATGTATTATTAAAACCCATGTCAGCTTTCGAAGAACTTTTCAGCAAGGTCATCGCTGATTATGTTTGCTGTTTGCTTAGAACAAGGTCAGGCAGCCAAGTACATACTCACTATCATGTGTGCTTCCACAGGATTTACAGAGGCTATTGTGTTTCGGAATATTACAGCTCAGGTCATTATCAAGTTCTGGTATAGTCCTTCACTATATATGTTTGGTGGTGCCTAAGACCATTCAACCAAATTCAAGGCGCTAATTTCATGCCAAGTGTATTCAAGAATGCTATGCACCAGTTAGGCATGACTTGGGTGACATCTTGTGCACATCTTCCTGAATCTCAGGGAGCTCCCGAAAGATTCCATTAGACTCTTACTCATAAGGGCTGGAATGAGGGTGTTCATTTGTGGTTTGCTGTGTGAGGGTTAGTTTAGGAGTTCTTAGCTTTCAGTCCGGTTGACCTATGTTTTAAAGCATAAATTTGTGGATTTTACTTTACGTCTTATTAAAATGTTTCGACAAAACGTTGGCAAAAACCAAACTTAGTAACCTTCGAAAAACGCTTTGAAAAGGTTTGTTCAAGGAGTTTCTAAAACGTTTAAAAAAGGAAGGGTTGAGACTTGCAATTGTATTAATGTCATAAAATTAAGGACAACTTCGTTGCAAGGTTTATCAACACAAAGGGTTTTTAAACTCGTCAGCTAAATACATACCTGTACTTTCGTTAATCATGTCATCCATTATTGTTCAGTAAAAATGAAAACAATATAATGATGTGTTTTAAGGAATACTTCATTTCATCAGTATATAGAGAAAAAGAAAACTCATGGAAAGTCTATAATTATCTACTATCACTTCATTCATGCGAAATTGCTCCTAAACAATGTGTCTGTGTTGCGAAAGTATGTTGAAGAATACAAATTCCCATCAGCATCTATCGAAAACTTAAGAATAAATACTGATCAATAAACCCCCAAAGCACTAATCACATACAATAGGAGTTTATTACCAACCAAATAAATGCAATTTGTCAAATTGTTCAACTAATTACATCTGGTTATATCGTTATGATACTTTCCCAAAATACGGGCGTCATTCACAGAAGAGGGGAAAATATTTTGAAAGTTGACACTAATGGCAATATTCTAGTTAAGTTAACATTATACTTTATTGGCAATTTAACTGATATCACCGTTCACTCTACATGACATTATTTGCATACACAATTGTGAAATGGTTTGGATATGAATGTGCATTTATCAATTTACCACTCTGCAAAACACACTTTTTCTTTTTGACTTATTTACAATTAACTTCGATCTTATGGACAATGCGGATTAGATTCACTTTGATGCACATGTAGTAAAAGAGACACATTCTAACTTAGCGAGTAAAATTATCTCGTAATCGTAATTGTCACATAGGTTTCTTGGCACAAGTGATATATCTCACATATGTATTGAGAGATCACCATAGGAATACGTACTGCTTCAAACAAAGAAGACCCGTGAAGATCCGGGGTAGAATAGGTCTTCAGCAACCCATGCTTGCCAGAAAAGGTGACTATGCTTGTCGTAAGGGGCGACTAACGGGATCGGGTGGTCAGGCTCGCTGACTTGGTTGACACATGTCATCGGTTCCCATTTGCGCAGATCGATGCTCATGCTGTTGATCACTGGATTGTCTGGGCCAGACACGATTATTTACAGACCGCCGCCATATAGCTGGAATATTGCTGAGTAAAACTAAACTCACTCACTAAAACAAAGAACGAACCAAATGTTTCACTAACGTTTCCAAAACGTTGGTGTGTAGAAGTTTGCAGTTTGTTTCTTCGTTCAAAGAACGGTTTAGAAACGTTACAGGAATGGGGATAGCTCTATACAATGCAATTCTGAAAGTTTACCAACTCAGATGTTAAGCTAGATCTTTTGGTCCCTGGGCAAAAACCTCAAGAGTTACTCCTAGAGTTCACTAACATGTTTCCGGATGTACTTGAGGGTACAACTTTAGTGTGTCATGATGGGACTGTGAAACAGAATCCCGACTGCTTGAAGCCTTAAAGGAGGAGGGTGACTGGAGTGACTGTGTGGTGGAAGTTACGGATGTTGTACCGCCATGAAAAAATTCTTAATCAGGCTCTTACACAAAACCGGGAGTAAATGACTGCATCAACAGAATAGGTCAAAACAAATGTGTTGGCATAGGAATTGACTGTTTCATGTTCCGGGAGTGGCGGCTAGGTTTTTTTTGTATGGCGATGGAAACATACTCATACAAATAATTTCATTATAACAATCTTACGCAAATATAATCTTATTACATTATATATGAGGGTCAAATTATGCAGGCATCAATCTCTGTGACAAACATCATGTTTGCGTTAACTGAGAAACAAACATATAAATCATAATCTTGCATTATTTAAAAGTGTGTTATAACTCAACAAGTCGGAGAGAGATATATATTTACAAAATGACCCCATGAAAATTCACTAGCCAGTCGGGCCAGTGACTGTGGAGATTTACTAGCCATGGGCTAGCGGGCGAGAGGCTATTTTGCACACTGGTTGTTGGCAATCTAGTATCAGAGGCAAGAATCATGGATCGGTCTCCATATTAGGGAACCCGAATTGGCGACATGAGTCACCCCTCCCCCATCGGTCAAGAATCCGATGGGGGGAGACATACCCTGGCGAAAGATACAAACTGACCACAGGGACCTAGACCAAACATGGAATCGGGGAAAGCCGGATACGGGCAAGGAATGTCAGCTATGTCAATTAATGGATGGTATAAATGATTGTGAACCAGCAGTGCTGGGCAGTTCGGACTGAAACTCGGAGTTCAGAGCCACCCCTTGTAACTACCAGAATAAAATCGTGTGGACCCCAAGACGGACTTGTGTGCTGATTAGAGTCATATCCCCCAGAGCATCAACCTACTGAGGCGGATATATTGGTGGAGCCAAGATCCCAGTACCTCTCAAGCTACAAGAACTGAGGTTAGTTTGACTATTTTTCTACATTCACTTCGTCTAGGGTCCACACCAGCAACGATTCTATTCTGGCTCTGTGTAAAAACTCTCAAACACCTAATAACTGGTATCAACTCTATAACCACAATCAAAACCAAGGGCTGTTGACGCACTTAACGTGAGAATCTTTCTAATGAACGTTCAGCTGAGCAATAGCACTATCAGGACACTGAGCTCATCATCTCTAAACAGTGTGTTTCAGCAGTGTCAAAATTCATTGTTATTCAGCTGTGCCTGCCATTCAACATATCGACGACCAAGATCTAGGTTCCCTGCTCCCAGCCAACGGGAACCATTGCTCCTAACGACGTCAGGAACCACCACTACCTCGACGACACCCACCTAGATCCCACAGTTCCAGCCTCTTGTTACCAACACCAGTGTCCCTACACCAACAGTGAAAGACCATCCAAGCCTGCTACAGGACATAGTGCCAAGTGACAATTGTGAAAGGACTGTGCTACACCACTCTCCACGTTGGTGAGCATCTGTTTTGTTATTAGGTGATTTTGTGCATGATAAATTGTTTCCTACTGTTGTCACATTTCTCCCACCATCCATTACAAAATGTCTTTCTATAAAGTCAAGCCCTTAAATGCTGAAGAGCGCCTACCACTGCTTAGTCCGGAAATAGTATATCAGAGTACTCCTGCTACCAATCCCCACCAGCCTATCACTCCCATAAATCGTTCATCCCCCTCCCTCGACCCCTTCTCACCTAATTGGGTCACATTCGATGAAACTGGGCCGGACACACCTTTATCATCCCAGGCCATTAGGAAATCTCCCCAAGCCTCACCGCTAGTTACAGATTCCTTAGTACCAACTTTCACCCCCTCTCTCCTCGAACCCCCACCTCGCCCATTCCCCTGTACTCCTTCCGTCCAGCAGTCCCAGTCCGATGCCTTGGCGACCGTATCAAGGGCAATTAATTGTTCCCGCCTTCCCCTGCCGATGTACGATGGGAAAGATCCCATAGCAGCAACTGCTTGGCTTCGCCGCTATGAGAAATTTGCATCTGCCCAAAACTATTGTGATGATGACCACCGTGACATCTTCCCCCTGTATTTAAAGGACATGGCAGCAGAATGGTACGAAGGTACCAAGAATACTGCATTAATGTCATGGAAGGAGCGGCTTTCCTGCGTCGTTATTCCCCGTCCTCCATTAGCCTCCTTACCAGACAAAATGCCCTTTTAGACCGCAAACAGAGGGTGGGCGAACAATTCTCGACTTTTCTCCAATCTATTCGACATGAAGCGGAGTTGTTACACAGAAATGATGACCCGTACATAATGGATCTCATAATCCGTAATGCCTTGCCCCATATCCGCCAGTTCATCATTACACATCCCCATACTTCATTAGACCAAGTGATAGAGAGTGCTGAAATCTCAGATGCGACATCTGGGTTGTCTGACGCCAAATCTGATCAGCTAATGTCAGCAATTAATGAACTTACCATAAAGGTTAATGCTCTCCAATCCCCCCACATCAATGCCATGACCTCTGACCACGAGTCTGGACCATATGACCCACACTTGTGCCAAATACAGTACACTGCCGGTCATTCCAAGGGTTATAGTAGGTATGCCGACCACAATATCCAGCGTCAAAATTCATTTCGGCCACGCCCAATACTCCATAACAAGGAACGTCCTTCACTCCCAGGCCCTGATACCGAGCCTCCATTCCCCAAACAGTTCCGGTGTAGAGCTTGCGGATACTTCCACACATCTCCCCAAGAATGTAGGGCCCAATATCTCCGTTGTTACAAATGCAACAAGCAAGGCCATCTTATCCGTATGTGCCCTAGTCAGACACAATATAGACAATGATGCCAGATGAATGCTGTGCCTGAGACACAGCAGAAACCTCCTACTCCTCTTATATCCAAAACTCATAATAACATTAATCTAGCACACAGCACAGTGGCAGTTACCATCAGTAACACCCCCATTAAGGCCCTTGTAGATACTGGTGCAAGCGCAAGTTGTATTGGCCTTTCCCACTTCAACACCCTTGGGGGGTCTGATAAATTCCCCCTTACGCCCAGTGGTTCTGCCCAATTAGCTGGTCCAGATGGTAGAACGCTTAATGTGCCTGGGTCAGCAAATTTAGTCGTGCACATTGCCAATCTTAAACTATCCCATAAGTTCTATGTAGTGGAAGACCTACAACAGGACATCTTGCTTGGCCTTGACTTCCTCAAACAACATTCAGCTTCAGTTGACTATTCCAATAACAAACTCTGTCTTTACCACGGTTTAGCCGAAGCCCCATTCCTGAGCCCGCCAGCAGATCATATCTTAGCCAGATGCCCCACACATGTCTGTATTCCTCCTCGATCAGAGCTGTATTTGCAATTAGACATCCCAATTAACACCCCGACAGGCTCCCCTGGTATGCTGCAGCCACTCTATACTTTGACCCAAACTCATCAGGTCATAGGTATACATTGTGTAGTGAGATGTGTTGACTCTCAGGTCCCTTATAGGTTACTCAACCCTACCAACTCTACAATTACCTTGCCAGCAAACGCACCTGTTGCTATGTTTGAGTCACTTGAGCCGAACTTTGACTTGGGTCCACTTAGAGATACCTCATCTGAACAGTTAAAGACAATCAATCGTGTATCTTTGACTGACACCCAAACTACTACGGACTTGACGCAGCAAGCATTGGAACTAGACATTGACCTTTCCTCAGCTGATTTATCCTCCGAACAGAAACAGACTTTGTTATCCTTCATTGGCCAACACCGTGACTGTTTCGCTAAGGACATCAGTGAACTAGGCAGGACTCACATGTTCTCTCATTCTATCGACACTGGGGATAGCCATCCTGTTCGTAAACGCCCCTACCCAGTACATCCCAAACATAGACAGGCAATGGACACACACATCGAGAACATGTTAGACAATGACATAATTGAGCCTTCCTTTTCCCCATGGTCTGCCCCTGTCCTATTAGTTCAAAAGAAATCTGGCGAGACACGCTTTTGCATCGACTTCCGAGAATTGAACAAATTATCTCGGGTGCAGCACTATCCTATAGGGAATATTGATGAATCATTAATGTCACTGGGAAATAGTCATCCTCAGATTTTCTCATCGCTTGACATGATGAGCGGGTATCATCAGATTTCCATGTCCCTGGACATCCGGGAGAAAACTTCCTTTTTGGCCCCTGGTCACGGACAGTTCCATTTCAAAGTCATGCCCTTTGGACTGGTCAATGCACCTAGTTGTTTTTCCTTCATTATGTCCTCCATATTCTCAGGAATGTCCTACAAATATGTCTTAACATATTTGGACGACCTGTTGATTCACAGCGCGTCCTTTGATGAACACCTTCAACATCCAGAAGCAGTGTTCAACAAATTTCGGGAGGCTGGGCTAAAACTCAACCCATGCAAGAGATCCCTTATCTCAGCCATGTTATCTCCAAACAGGGAGTTTCTACTGACCCCATGAAGGTGGAGAGTGTCAAAACTTACCCTCGCCCTACAAACGTTAGTGAACTAAGAGCATTCCTTGGCCTTACGTGATATTATCGTAAATTCATTAAAGGTTATGCTACGATAGCTACTCGACTTCACGCCTTACTGCACAAAAATGTCCCTTTCACATGGACCGACACGTCTGAAAAGGCATTCCTTGAGTTAAAACAAACCCTTATCTCTTCCCCAGTACTGGTGTACCCTGACCTCAATAAGACCTTCATCCTAGCATGCGATGCCTGTGACAGCAGCATAGGCTGGGTACTATCCCAGATTGACGATAACCAACAGGAACACCCTGTAGCTTTTGGTGGCAAAAGCCTCAATAAAGCACAGAAACTCTACCCAGTAACTCAAAAGGAGTGCTTGGCTATTGTCGAGGGGATTAAACATTTCAAATCCTATTTGGCATACAACAAATTCACAGTCATTGCTGACCATTCGGCTCTACAATTCCTGAAGTCAATCAAGGATGCTACAGGAAAGTTAGGTCGCTGGTCTCTCATGAACGCATGAACGCTGTGATCTCACAGTCAATCAGAGCATATTGTGAGGACGCTAAGGAGGCATAGCCCTACATTCTCCCTAGCATAATGGCTGGTTATCGGTTAAGTCCCGCCATTAATTCTTCTGGGTATTCCCCTTATTTCATGTTGTTCGGACGAGAGCCTCGCATGCCCATAGACAACATCCTACAACCAATCCCGGACAAACTCCCTCGTCAAACTCGGACGGACCTTAGGGAACTACTGGACAATCTGGAAATGGCTCGAAACATTGCCAAACAGAATGTCCAGGCAGCTCAAGATTCTTACAAAGCAAGGTATGACAAAAAGGCCCTAACTCCCACCTTCACTGTGGGTCAGAAAGTATGGCTAAAGAAAGGAAACCTTATGGCCCATCTCAGTCGCAAATTACAACGACAATGGGATGGACCGTACTATATTGTATTTGCCTATGAAACGCCCAACTACCTGCTGAGGCAATGCCTAACAAACAAACCCCTCAAAGCACCGATTCATGCAAATCGCTTAAGGCCATATGTGGGTGAGGACAGCCGCCCACAGCCTCCCCCACTTGATCTAGCAACCCAAACTGACCCCCACGGAGACAACGACGCTGATTTACATCACGACAGTGCCTCCGCCAATGTCCCAACAAAGCCACACAAACCTAGACAAGCCCAATCCCATTCCCCAAAATTGCAGTTGGGACCCCGAGGATGATATTCCACTCGCTGTTCTACAGAGGAGATGGAATACCCCA